TTTACATCTAACTCAAAAGGTGCATATTAGTCACCGATTAACTTTACCCCTAAACTACCTTGTCTTCATTCCAGCGTGGCAAAAATGTCTTGAAAAAGTGTGTACTTTAGGTCCTCTTCATACAGTATAAAAAACATTAAGTGCAATAAACAAAGGAGAGCCAACAAGAAAATGACTGAAGCACAAACTGTCCACATAAATAAACCAACATGCTGAAAATAAGGTAAAACAAAATAAGACACAGTCTTTCTTTGGTCTTCTTGTTTCTCTTCACTAGACCTCTTCACTACACACACACACAGCCAGTCACCTGCGGTTTAGATCTTTTCTACTTGGGTGTCTCTGCCACAGAGTCAAAAATCAAAGCAAAGGCCTTCTGGCAGAGAGCCATATAGACTCACAATTTTTCTTTGTCTTTCTCTTCCACACTTGCCCCTTTCAGACCAGTGCAAAGACTCAGGATTAACTCGCTACTGCTTCGGATATGACGACAAGCTTGTTGTGTGATCTGACTACTCCCGTGGGTGTTGGATACTACCTAATTCTATGGGTGCTGAATAATCACCGTAATACCACATTATATTATACTTAGTGCACTTGGTAAATAGTAATTGTAATAGTTTGTGGTTCTGCAGAGTTCACATACAGACAGATCTTTAAGGAGAGATGTACCACAGCTTTCTATCTTTCTATCTTTATCAAGTGAGTGTTTTTTGTGCAGTTTGCATATGGCTAGAAAAGAAAATTTGAGTTTCAAATATTTCCTTAGAAAAGTGAACGGTTTCTATCACATTTCAAGCCTGCTTACAGAACAAATATCTGGGTGTGCATCATCAGAAGTTAGTGAGGGTGGTTTCTTCTTATGTAGCTGCTCTTGGAAAAACCTGGACCCTTCTAATGGTTGTCGAAACACCTTTTTATTGATATATACTGAGGTGTCAAAACTCATTATTAAAGGTACAATAAAGTTAGGAGTTTTCAGTCTATACTCAAAGCATCACATAAGCAGCAGGTTAGTGGAAAAGCTGGATGTATAGCTGGAGGCATATTACTGAGCTGCAGATCGGTTGTGTTTGGCAGAGCTCAAAACACACAACACAATAATTGTACCGTATTTGTAAAACACATGGTGAAGAAAAGCCCAGAGAGCTAAAAATACACTTTGGGTTAGTGGTTACAGCAAGTAAAACGTGAACTATTACGATGTCTTTATAGGCAGCTGGGCAGAAATAGGGAAGCATCTGTTCTGTCATATACTCGTGAAGAAAGCAGCTGAAAAATGCAGCCTGAAATGCATTCTGCAGAGACATGCTGTGAGCGCGAGTGGAGGGGAAGCTCATGTGATGCCTATTAGTTTGGCAAGTTAGGAGGGTGGTAAAATCATCACAGTAAGAGAAACAGAAATGTAATAGACAGCAGAGAGATAACCATATCCATTTCTCTCCTTTCCAAAAAAACACCTTTGATACTTTCTGTATGGCAGATGGGCTACAAAAACTACACTTTTATGAGAGATGCAGAAATTGCAGGGAAATACAAAAGTCGACTTTTTTAATCAAACCTTTATGTCCTTAATAAATGTTGAATCGCACTGTTAAGATTACAAGCCAAAGATGATTATGTCTTTCTGTTTAGTTTTTTCTTCCATTAAGCCTAAAGATGCATCAGTTACACACACAGGTTTACACAGAAGGTTTATTACCCCTGCATCTGATCACGACCAATTGGTTGCATTTCATATTGTGTTTTATATATTTTTGTCCAGATATCATCAAACTCATTAAAGCTCAAGTTGGATAAAAGTGAACCAAAATAAATGTTTATTTATAGGTTCTTAAGTTCAGAGAGTGAAACAAGTCAAAAAATTGAATTCTCCTGGACTTGCCCCGAGCCAACAAGCAGAAAACAAAAATCTATAACTTAGATCTTGTGTAGGGTCTCTTTCCTAATCTTCCTTTTATTAGCTCATAAATATTGTCTATTTAAGTGCCACAGAGAAACTTATGGATGTGTGTATATCAAACAGGACTGAAATGTTCTGCTAAACCCAAATGCTGTTATAACTTGACTGCAGGTGATTCAGAAACTCTGCAGTCAAGTGTTTAAAGACAGAACACTTTAAGATCTTACTTTGGTTGCCTGTCAGTTTCTGTATTATTTTAAAATTCTTTAACTTGGTTTAAAGAAATTTGTGGAATTGCTTCAGTATTTATGGCTCGTATACTTAGTCTGAAGCAGTATGACTCTCAATGTCCCCTGGCACAAGTCCTTCAGTTGTTCCAAAGTGCAGAAGAAAAACCTTCAGCGAGAGAGCTTTTAGCATATTTTTTTTTTGCCCCAAGCCAGTGTGCCAGAGGATCTGAGAGCAGCTGGAAGTCTTTAAAAAAGAAAAAGTACCTCTTTATGCTGGCTTTTTAGTGTGGTTTATAGAAATTACTTACCTCATTCAATTCGCTTATTTTATTTTATTTATATATATTTTTAGAATTATTAAAATTATTATTATGAATTATTTCTGGTTATATATTTTTTATTTTTTTTTACCTTAAAATCCTTTAATTCACATTTTCAGTTATTTTTATATTCACTTTATGATTTTTTTTTTATTGAGGGATTGTTTTATTGTGTGTGGGAGCAGCTGAGCATGAATTTCTTTCAGGATTAATAAAGTTCTGTGAAATTAAATGAAAATAAAATGAATTTTTCGTGCGCTCTTATTTTCTTTCATTCTTTTATTAGATTGGTTTCGAGCTTTAATTATCTGGTTACCACCTGGTGAAATGACAGCACTGCAAAGATGCCCTTTTTATAACAGTTTTGTGAGTTCAGGGAGAGGCTGCATTCGATTATCTGGGCCTGCTGAATGATTCACATGTCATTGTTCTGCTTTTGTATACTATGTTCAGAGGATCTATTAATTTGAGCATCAGTCAGCCACTGGAACCCCATTGAGGGTGTAATCAATCCACTTACACGCTGCACAGCCATGACCAAAGCTGAGCTGCTTGCAAAAATGCTACATGTATACTATGTGTGTGCATGTACTATATCTATAGATTTTGACTTAATGTAATTATTACACTGACTGAATCACAAAATATGTGTTGGATTCAAGCTCAAGCATTTTACTTAAGTAAAGAAAAGTGTGTGTGTGTGCATGATACTGATTACAAATTAAAAGGCAAAATGCCACGATCAGCCAGCAGTCCCAAAAATCATTGATCTGGCAAACACTCCCTTCCTTACAAAACATCTAATGAACTATGTTTAAACCAAAGTGGGGCAAAAGCAACCAAGTAGCAAATGACTTAGTACTGCTGCTGGGTGTTTTTGTATCAGAGTGAATATATTGCAGTGTTATGCTGTAAAGTGAGTCTAAGGTTGTGCAGGAGTGCGTGTAGATTGGGTGTAACATTGTGGTACACTTTTACTCGCAGCATGTCTTATCAAACCTGCAAAACTGCAAGCCTTGCCACAATTGCATATATGTGAGTGGGTAGAAGGTTAGCTTAAAATGATTCACCATAAAATTACTGTAAATAGGGATATTTATGTTTGCCTTGTCATGTGTCACCAAGTGCTTACTTACAGGAAATTGATGGGTTTCTCTCTATAACATACAATTTTATAACATTATACACTGTGTTAAAGCATAAAGGTGTTCATACCAAATATCGATTTTCCATCTCATTAGAATTTTATATTGCATACCGTACAATTTGCACATGTTTCAATAAATCATTGCACCATTTTCCCATTTTCCTGGAAAAGAAAAAAGACATAAGCAGTGGCTCAAGCCTTTTGCCCTGTACTGTATAATATTTGATTTCAATACAAAACTCAAGTGAAATTACTTGAACAATAACTCTCACCTGTCCATCTTCAGTAAGATTTAAATAGCTTTAGAAATAAATGTTGAGGAATGAAATGTCAGATTTTTTAAAAATGTTTTTTACTGGATATAACTAAAAAAAACAAAAAACAGAAAACATTAGACAGAGCATAAACATATAACTACAACTAACACAACACTACACTATACCAGCTGCCTTGCTTTACTGACCTCCTCATTTATGATCCAGTCTTTTGAACACATTTCAAAAGTGCAATTTATTAACAAAACATTCTGGTTTATTTGTGCGTTTTGGCTTAACATAACTTTTTAAAGTTAAGGTGATGTTCTCAGGAACAAGATGCACAGTTGAGTTGGACCACTACAGAGTCCTTGGGTATAACAGTGTATGTAATAGGCTGCCCAGTGGTGTCATTTCTTTTAATTAGGAACATTTAGGTTGGGTTTTTCAGGAACATTCAATAATGTTCACTGTTAACACATTTCAGAAAGTTATGCTAATTTTCTCTGTTTTTGCAAAAGAAGTGAGCAGTGCAAATGACTTTTCATTAGTAGATGTGTAGACATAATTATATACAGATACACACAGATAGACATTCCTACTCCACAGACAGTATTTAACAGCATTAATAAGACCTTTGCGTCATGTGACTTCTCTCAAAGGGACTGGGACTCCTTCCCAGGAGTAAAGGATGTGTGTGACTGCATTCCTTCACAAGACATTTGTTCTCGTGGAATGCATTAAAAGGGGCACAGATTCTCAAGGTGAAGGCCATTTGGTCCTGAACGTCATCTGAATACATTTACATCTACTTGACATTACATGTTTTACATACATAAAAGATGGAGAAATAAGTGCTTCAGTTTCCTGATGTAAACATTTCATTAGACAAATCCATATTTGTTCATATTGGGGCATCTTTATAGAGCTGAATAGTGATAACTATGTTATAAGTTGTTTAATAGTGTATCTGAATGTTGTGTGTTACTGTGTCAGGTTGCCTGTGCTTTAATGTATCGTGTATATTTTGCTCATCAGCTTGCATTTCCTCCATCTGCACATATGCATTTGCAGCTCTGCATCAATGTGTTTACGACAATGTATATGTGCAAATGCATAAGGAGTGTTTGAGAAGGAGTGACTCACCAGTTCCTTCTTCTTCATGCACTCCATGAGAATGATGAACAGATGTTGAGCCTGTGAGCGGCTGTAGGTGAAAGTCTTCTGAATGGTCACCAGCAACTGGTCTCTTAGAGACTCATTAATTATGCTGCAGAGGCAGAAAGGTGTGGAAAAAGAAATGAGAGTATCAAGAACAGGGCCAGAGTGACAGGAAAACAGACAAATTATATCAGAAGGTTAAACCAAGGCTGACTGGAACTCTTAGCTACCAAATCTCTTGAGTCTTTGTTGAAATGCAAATTCTCACATTTGTGTTTTATTAAAGCAAGTTTCATTTTTCCCCCAAGTTTCTGCATACAAACTCACATAAATATTCAAAGATATTTTGATCTAAAACAATCCCTTGACATCTACAGTGCATCCAATTTTTCATACGCTATTCAT